ATGTCCGAAGAGGGCATATGTGAATCTTCTTTCGTTGTACGATCTTTACTTGCCATTTATTCTGTCCTACCCCCATTATTCACTTAAACGTTGCTATATGTAATGTCGATGGATTGCCTGTCTACATTCTCGATACGACCTGTCAAATGATTGTCAATCTAATCATTGAAGTGTTTAGTTTAACCTATTTGTTTTCTCGAAGTTGCTTGCTAAATTATGAGATGTTCATCAATGCCACATACTGTGGCACTACAGTCATGATCCCATTTCAGAAATTCAGTTCAGCTAAACCGGCCAACAAATGACCAGCATGCAACTCAAAAGTTATTTATGAACAAAAACGCTTTAGAAAATGGCAATCACAGGCCATGGTTGGTTTACGACGCTGAAAAAATTAATATAAAACCTTTATACCTAATGGGTTTTTTTTGTTGCACAATACTGGTAAATGTAAGAATTTTGAGTAGGACATGTACAAATTTGAATGGGCTGGGAAAAAATTATAGGTCTACAAGCCCGAAGGGCATGTGCTGAAAAAGAATTGTTGTGAAGACTGTAACTAAAGCGACAGCGCCAGGTGATCATATAAAGTCCCCTTTATTACATAATAATTTGGCAAATTATCAACACATCAAGCTAAAATTTCCAACATATCTTAACGGTGAGAATTTTTATTTTTTAAGTTGAAACCTCGTGACCTGTGAAAAAAATGAAATTTGTATCCAATCTAAAGTCTTAAAATGTATCAAGGTAATTTTTCGATACAAATTTGCGGTTGGGGTTATAAATGAAGGATAAAACCAGAGACCTAGGAATGGAATACTCGGAAGTCTCTGGTTTTATTCTACCCCCAACTGGAAGTTGTATCCCATCTAAAGTCTTAAAATGTATCGAGGTAATTTTCGAGGAATAAATGAGTGGTTTACAAGAAAGAGGCTCGACCAGAGATGTCTGAAACGATTTATTTGACAAGAAAAAAGTCTCTTGAAGCAAACGATGTCATTTAAAAGTAGGTTAATGATTGATAATGATACATGAACAAAATACGAGCTTGAAGCGGGGGTGCCTGAAATTGAGTTAGATATCTTGTGGTAAAAATAAGTAGGGATGCACCGTATATGAAACAAGTGCCTGTGATTGATAGTCTGAAATTTCTCTTCACCTAAATATTAAAAGCTTGCAGTGATCGCTATAAATCTATACAACAGTCAAGTTACATACGGTAAACTAACATAAAAACAAGATTACAACAGTCATGATTACAGAAGGTATATTTTGAAGACTAGGTCAGTAGGTGAATGTAAACAGGTAAACACACGTGGGACAGTCACCGCAAATAAATGAACCACAAAACGACTTATAACATTAAAATGTAAATATTCATCTGCACACAGATTTTTGCATAATAATAATAATTTTTAAAAAGTGTAAATTAAAATATAAAATAAACAAACCTCACACCTTGTAACATTGAGGCTTGTTTCCCTGCAATCTTATTCTGGTTCTCTGTCACTGAAAATGCAGGGAACCAGGCTGCGTTATTAACTCGTACACAGATTTGTTGATACGAATAAACCTATAAACATATACGAAATAAAATATTATCATAAAAAATGAAGAATTTCAAATTGCTTGAAAAATTATCTTTATGTAGTTTATAATAAATGGTTGTAATTGTATATTAATTTCTATCTATCCATTAAAATTTGATACGTATCCGTCTGAACAATTATTGTTATTACACTCCCTGTCACATCTTCATAGTTAAGCCTGTAAGCATGGTAAGTAGGAATCAATTTCAGTTGAAGGGGACCAAAACCAAACATTTTTCAGTTTCATTTGGTGGGGAAGGGGGGGGGGTATAAACCTCAAATGATCATTTTATCTCTGTCACTGAACTGCTGAAAATAATGAAGGGAACTAGGCTGCGACAATGATTTGTTGACTGAATTAAAATACGAAATAAATTATCATACATACGAAATAAAATAATTTCATGAAAAAATGAAGAATTTCCAATTGCTTGAAAAAAAAGAAGCTTTTCATGTATGTGATTGACAATAAATGGTTGTACTTGTATATTTTCTATATATCCATTAAAATTTCATAGTATCAGTAGTTCACTATTTGTAAACATTAACAATAATATTAAATAAATGTTACACTCACTGTGGCTTTGACTGAGTTACTGTCACATCTTCATAATTAAACGAGAATATTCCCTTCCGTAAATATTGCTATATATATCTGAACTGTTACCAATTAATCTTTCTTTGGTGAAAGAAAACCTCAGGGATGGAGAATAGGCCTGTACGTAATTTAGTTGGAGGGGGTGGGGTGAGCACAACCAAACAACATTTTTCAGTTTCAGGTGGGGGTGGCTACAAACAAAAAATTTTTTAATAAGCAAAAGAAAAATACATTATCAGAGGTTATTATTGAGGGGGCCCAAAAGCAAAAGAAAAATAGATCATCAGAGGTTATTATTGAGGGGGCCCAAGCATAAAGGAGCAATGTTTTCTATAGTATACCTAAATTTCAGCAAAATTACAGGGGGCCTGCCCCCCCCCCCCCCCCCCGTTCCTTCAGCCATGTATTATATCAAATCTGCTTCACCCTGATTCAGATTTTTTTTTACAGCATATATATTCTATTAGCAGAGGATCACATTATATTAATAAACAATTATTAAATTACAGCTATTTTTTTTCTTACAGGGTCTGTTTCATTTATACTATATCATGATGATCATGTCCTGCATGATGTTTACAGAAAGTTTAATTTAAATTCTTAAGCTCGAAATAGCTGCGTCAACTTGCGAGATCATTTTTTTCTACGTTCGGCCTAACCTTTAAATATTTAATTTGTTTGTGGACTTGCATAAAAGAATTAAAAAACATAGGGGCCTTTCATTTAACTTTATTTCGAATTTCCTTCAGGATTTTATATACCGAACTATAGTCTAACGATTATTTAAAATCATACTTTTCCTCTTGAAAGCTAAATTACTAGGAAAAAAAAAAAAAAAAAAAAAAAACAACGAATGTTTGTCTTGTGTATTCTTAATTACAACTTATTACTGTATCATTTTAGTTACTTACCCAAATTTCTCAACATCCATGGTGTTCAGAGGTCATTTTCTGAAAACTGAAGGGGGATTCCGATGGCATTCGGAACAAGTGACGGAAAGCACTTGCTAAAGAATTCAAAACATGGTTCATAAATTTACAATATTTTTCCTTTTTAGGTTTTTAACATAAAACATGGAAAACTAAGTTAAAGAAACACTCATTTGAACAAATCAAAAGCGGAAAAAATATATATGCTAGATTTTTTGTTTAATTGCATGTTTTTCATGGTCTCCAAAATGCAGAAAAATTATCCTTTGAAATTATACGTAGGTTATAAATTCTTTTCTTTTTTAGGGAAGATGATAGAAATTAGACAACTTTTAAATGTTAAATAACAGAGTTAAAGATTAATAATATTTAATGGCAGACTGTTTATTTATCTATAAAAAGACATTTGCAATACTGATGAGGTCAAAATAATAGGGAGACCGAAAAAGGTCGCCTTAATCCAGTGGTCTCCCTAAGCCAGAAAATATATCCTCCTTGGTCTCCTAAAGCCATATGTCATATATATATATATATATATATATATATACAGGTAAACTTCGTTATCTCGACATCGACGGGACCATCGGAAAATGTCGAGATATCCGAGGTGTCGAGATATCAGAGTTGAGACTTGACGTCCAAGATTGCATTGCATAGCAAAACGGACAAGCTTATTATATGTACATGACTTTAATATAGACTGTATCTCAACATATTTCAGAATTCCCTCTATTTTTATTAAAAATCTAAGAAGTTATTTTAAAAATCTTGTTTATAAAACGTGTTCTTAATCGAAATCTTTCTAAATTCACAAAGTTTCAGCACAGAGTTACAGCATTGAGCTGCATTCGCGTGTAACTTGCCTTTTCGTCAGAACAGGATACGAAATGCACTCTATAAACTTCGAACCGTATAAAGTCGACATCCGATATACGGTAAAAAAAAAATGAAATACGGATTATTTTTTTCTTATTTCATTCAGGAAGAATGTACATTAAAATTGATTTTTTTAAAGAGATTTGTGTATCTAAACTAACGAAGTGATGTTACGGATGCACGAATTACGGCTGATTCGGTCAATCGTGTCGTTAATTGGATTGTTTCCTGTTGAATACATTTTAACTACAAAATATCATTAAAACATTTTTTTTTAATTCCTTAGTTTGAATTTTTCAGTGTGTTTGTTATTCATTGTAATTTAGTTATCTTTTTTCAAATTTAAAAGTTATGTTACGTTTCGATATAAATAACATTCTGTACATTTACGCAGAATCGTGTAGATTTAGCAATGATATTACCCAAGCTCAATTAACTTCTCAAAGACGCCGAAGGGGCTTGGGATTCACCTACAAACACAGTCTATAAAATTAATTAAACAGCGTGCAGTCAAACATGAGTGTGAAAGGTGTGAAACTTTGACGACGTCGAGATACCCAGAGTCGTCCGTGCGTGACGAGCGACCCTATCTGACAAACAGTTAGGTTCAGTGGAGCAGAAAATTGCCGATGTCGACATATGCCAGGTAAATTTTGCTCTTGGGACTGGGAATATACGTCGAGATAACCCGGGTTGTCGACATTACCGAGGTCGACATATCAGAGTTTTTGCAAATCATTTATATAGTAAATACTGCCGGGACCGCGGAAGGATGTCGACATATCCCAGGTTGTCGACATATCCGATGTCGAGATACCGAAGTTTACCATATATATATATATATATATATATATATATATATATATATATATATATATATATATATATATATATGTATGTATGTATGTATGTATGTATGTATGTATTATAATTCAATTGAAAAGTAAATTATTCTACATCGTATTTTAGTAATTACATGTACGTTTCATTTATTTGTTACTTAAGGCTGTTGGTTTTTGGGTTTGGCAAACGGTCATGCATCGGGGAAGTGTTCGCCAAAAACCGCATATTCCTGTTCCTAGCAACACTGATGCAGACTTGTACTGTGACAAAGCCGTCTGGTCAATCTACAAGTAACCTTGACCCCCGAACAATGATGCCTGGCATCGTACTCCAGCCTCAGCATTACCAAGTACAATTCAAAGCACGAGAAATTTCATGCAATCAATGAGCGTGCCAGGGCACATGTAAAAAGCATCGATGTACACAAAGACAATGAGAAATTTTTGAACGTCAATAAATGAATGTTGAATACATGGTATGTCTAATTAGGACCAAGTAAATGACATTTTTCATAAACATTTAACAATGAAATTTAATACAAATACGTCGCTTCGTGTATATGGCATGTCAAACGTTGCAATATTCGGTCTTTTCCATTTGTATTGTATAATTTTCCATTTGGATTCTATAATTTTCTATTTGGATTGTATAATGCTTATTTGTATTCTATATTTTCCATTTGTATTGTAAAAAAAATCATTTGTATTGTATAATTTTTCATTTGTATTCTATATTTTCCATTTGCATTGTATAATTTCTTATTTGTATTGTATAATGCTTTTACTGATCTCGTAAATTTTGTCTACAAGTAACCTTGTTGACCTAAAAAATGGCCTGTGAGCTATGCAGTATTGCGTTCGAAGATCTTGTTATTGATCTCGACACAAAAGAGTTGATGACTGAATACCCGTTATCATGTTTTGTCACCAAATTCAAGCCACGTACTGGTAAGGCTAAACTGTTGTTATTTGAAGATGTAAACCAGACTCTCTATGAAAAGAGTGCAAGAATGGTATGTTTTTACACATCTGAGAACAGGTTATTTACATGGATTAAAGCATTATCCATTTTATATTATGATAACATTGGAAAGAGACCCGGGTTAAAAGTAACATGGACCGACACCCCAAAGAACTGGGCGGATCCAACAAATACTGGAAATGCTATCGTGAGACAGATTTTCAGCGAAAACAAACCACATGCGAATAACCTTGTTTTCAACGTAACAGTCTTCATTACAACTGGTACCATAAGGGTACAGGGAATACATTATGACAAGTTTACAAAACACCATTTCCCGATCCTGCTTAGATTAGTTGACTTGACAAGCCAGTTGGAGCTGTTCCCTTAGTTTTATTATTAGGAACTTCAAATACTAATGATATCAAGGAGGAGAAACTGACTCCTGCTGCAACTGTAAATAAATTTACCACATACACCATTACAGAGGCACAAACATTTCTTCAAAAGTGTGAACAACAGTACGATGCTATCATTTTACACATATTGACTAATGTTGTTAAAGGAGATGATCCTAATGAATGTAGCACAAATATTGATGAAGTCATCAAATACATCAGACAAAGATGGCTGTCTACCAAAATAATAGTATCTTTAACGACCCCAAGAGTTGACACGCACAAAAATTGTGCAGAAATGGTCAATGCGATCACTAAACAACGGATTCTATAGGAGAATGATGAAGCCATTACTTTTGTCGAGCATCATAATATGTTCATTGATTCCGGCCCAAACACTTCACTACTTAACAAAGATGGATATCATCTCAACACCAAAGGGGTATCCAAACTGGCAGCCAATTTTCGATATGCGTTGCATAGGTCCCTAAAGCTAAATGATTGTGGAACGTCGCTCCAGAAGCAACTCACAACGTCGATCACGTGGACAAGAATTTGTTGGACGATCCAGATACAACAAACGTGACTGAAGTTTCCTCTGACTGGAAATCCTTTTTGTAGATCTTTATTTTCTTTTTATATAATATAGACATAGAAAATGTCTTAATTATAGTGAAGGTTAAGAATTATATAATTCTCATTTAATGGTCAACATGGTATACTATATGTTTAATATTTAGTAATTTTGCTAAAAGAATGAAGAGTTTAAAATTTGGCCTACTCAATGTTGGTGGCCTAATATATAAGGGAGAAAACAAATTTAATGAACCCTCATTTGTTAAACAGTTGAAAAAGTATATTTTCTTTTTTGTGGAAACTCATATAGGACATGATTTTATTGTTCCAAATATTGAGCCCTTTTATTGTCATACTATATGCAGACCAATATCTAATAATAATAGATACTTTGGAGGATTGGCAATATTTTGTAACAAATATATCAAACAACATGTGAAAATTTTAACAAACAACAACAAAGATTTCAATGGTTAAAATTTGAAAAGGATTACTTTGGATTTAAAAATGATTTATACTTGTGTGTTATATATATTCCACCATTAATGTCCTCATATAATAAAGCTCTACAGGTAGATATTTTGGATTGCATTGAAAAAGATGTTAATAGATACTCAAAGTTTGGAGACGTTGTATTATGTGGTGACTTCAATGCCAGGGTATCCAATGAAAATGATTTTATATCCAATGACAGCTGTTTATATGTACCCACCAATACTGATTATAGACCTGATAGAACTATTAATCAACGTTAAAGTCAAGATGAAATTATTGATGCAAGGGGCAAACAATTATTAGATTTATGCATTGGTAATCAACTAAGGATATTGAATGGTAGAGTATTTGGAGACTGTTTTGGGCAATGCACTTGTTATACACCAAATGGGAGTAGTGTAGTAGATTACGTAATCGCCTCTGAGAAAATTTTGCCATGTTTTTTGTATTTTCATGTAAATCAGTTCAACCCAATATTCTCAGACTGTCATTCAATACTAGAATGGCAAATGTGTGCAGATTATTTTTTATCCTCAACGTGTGACCTTCCTACATTTCAATTAAAACCCAAATTTGTATGGGAAGATAATTCAGCTGAAAAATTTTGTGCAGTACTTGCAAGCACTGAAATAAGTAAGAGACTGAATAGGTTTGTGAATAATCAGATTATCGAAAGTACACAGAATTCTGTAGACAAGGCTTGTGCTGAATTGACAGATATTATTCTCTCTGCAGCTAAACAATCTTTGAAAGAAAAGAGAAATTTATCTAACAAAAAAAAGAACACACAATAAAAATGATAAATATTGGTTTGTTAATGATTTAGTCAAAAAAAGAAATAATTTACTGGAATATGCAAAAATTCTTACTAAATACCCTAAGGACCCTACAGTAAGAGGACATTTCTTCAAACTTCGTAAAAATTATGCAAAACTCCGAAAATTTAAATATGAAGAGTTCAAAAACAGTATGCTTAATAAAATTGATGAATTACATGAAAATAGCCCAAAAATGTATTGGGAATTAATTAAAAAAAATCTCAAAACAGAGTGCAGATGACAAAGGTTCTTTAATATCCTATAGTGACTGGATACAGCATTTCAATATGTTAAACACTAGTGAAGCTTGTTTTAATTCGCGCATTGCTTCTTTGGAGGAACATGTTTCTAAACTAGACTCTAATATGTACTTCAATGAATTGGACTATAGAATCACTAAATCAGAAATTTCTGAGGCAATAAGCAAATATAATAAATCTCCAGGATTGGACAGAATATCTAATCATATGCTGAAATATGGACAAAGCTCACTCATTGATAGTCCGCAAAAATTATTCAATAGCTGTTTAGCTGGTGGTATTTATCCAAATCAATGGTCCTCTGGTATTATAACTGTACTTCATAAATCTGGTGATGCACATGACCCAAATAATTATCGCGGGATAACCATACCTAGTGCAGTAGGAAAATTAATGAATAGTATTCTCAACAATAGATTAGACAAATTTCTTGAGAAACATCAAATAATTAATGAATGTCAGATTGGTTTTACAAAAATGGCAAGGGCATCAGATCATATGTTCATTCTTAGAAACATAATTGAAACTTACTGTAAGAACAGAGATGGTCGCTTATACACATGCTTTATAGATTTTAGAAAAGCATTCGACACTGTAATTCACTCAGGTATAAAATATAAATTGCTTAAGTTGTGTTTTGGAACAAATTTTTATATGCTTATTAAAAGTATGTACAATAATAGCAAGTCATGCATTAAAATAAAAAATCATCACACAGATTTTTTCACAATAAAACTTGGTGTAAAACAAAGTGACAATCTCAGTCCCAATTTGTTTAAGATATTTATAAATGATTTACCAGAGTAATCTTAAAGATGCAAATGACCCAATAATACTGAATGGTAAAAAAGTGCATTGTCTAATGTATGCAGATGATGTAATATTACTGTCACATTCAACAACTGGCTTACAAAGTAATCTTGATAAATTGCAAAAATTCTGTTCTGATTGGTGTCTAAAAGTCAATACTAATAAAAGTAAGGTTTTAATCTTCAATAAAGCGGGAAGAACTCTTAAACATAATTTTATTTTTTGAACGTAAAGAAATAGAATGTGTGTCTTCTTATAAATATTTAGGAATGTATTTTAATGCAGCTGGAAATTTCTCTAGTGCTCAAGATGATTTGTACAAAAAGGTAATGAAAGCATACTTTAAATTGCAGAAAGACTTTTTATCATTACAACCAAGCATTAGAACATCTCTTCATGTCTTTGATCACACTATCAAACCAATATTACTCTATGGCAGTGAGATTTGGGGAATCTTAAATCGCCCATCTTTGTTTAACCGCAACACTATATCTTTGCATGATTTTTACTCCAAACTAAAGTGTGAAAATCTCCAAATGAAATTTTGTAAATTTATCTTAGGTCTTCATTGAAAGTGCTCAAATTTTGCAACTTTGTCAGAACTTGGTAGATTTCCATTACACCTTGATGTTGTAAAAAATATAATGAACTATGTGAATAGACTAGAAAATCTTGGGACTTCTTTCCCATTATTGAATGCAGCATATCTTCAAAGTAAGCTTAATGCTAATACATGTAAATCGCAGTCATGGTATGGTTTAGTATGTAAATTTCTTCAAATTGCTGGGTTAAACCATATTATTGCCATAAATAAACCCTTATATTTCAAGAAAAAATGCAAAGAATTATTATATAATCATTACACAAATGAATGGTACAATATGAGAAATTTACAAAAAGGAAAACTTGAAACTTACATAAAATTTAAAACTAATTTGGTTTTTGAAAACTACCTAGCACTGTTATCACCTGAACAACGCAAAGTACTTACAAGGTTGCGGACATCAGCACATAATTTCCCAATAGAACGAGGTCGTTACTTAGGGATTCCCAGACAACTAAGAACTTGTACAAATTGTTCTTCTCACCAAGTTGGAGATGAAATTCATTTACTCTTTGAATGCCTTAAATATAATTTACTTAGGAAAGATATGTATGAAAGTATACAACAACATTGTAAACAAATTTTACTTCTTGATAACATGAACAAATTAATATGGATATTGAATTGTGAAAATTATGATGTTCTTAAATCCCTTTGTGAATTGATCAATGGAGAAATAAAATGTGTCTTCTACATGTATATAGAATTTAAAAATTGTATACTTTTAACACTCAATAAATGTTAGTTTGTTCATAAGATATGCAAACATGGTGACTTATAAAGTACCAATGCACTGTCCCGTGGTATCTTTTGCAATTTAGAGGAATATATCTATTCAGTTTATATTTTTGTATATGTATATCTCTGTTTTTTTGCATTATGGTACACGGTGGTACTTGTTTATACTTTACAATGTGTATTTCAAATTGTACATGTTAGCAATTATATCAACTTATGAACCATGAGTAAATTGAATAAGTATATGTATTAAGAAAATGCTGAATATTACTATTATCACATTTTGTGAATAATTATTATATTTATATGTTCTGTTTAATAATCATGTATGTAATATGCTCAAAAGGACCCCGATTTGGAATAATAAATAAATATAAATAATAGAGAGAGAGAGAGAGAGAGACGTCACCATATACCGGTGAAGGGCTTCAAATTTAGACCTTTACTCGGCACTCAGGGCCATTGAGCATTGAGGGTTCTTTATCGTGCCAACCCCTGTCGTGATACGGGGCCTCGGTTTTGAAGGTCTCACCGAAGGACCCGTCACTTTCACTTCAAAGTGCCGAGCGCCTGGCGAAGGAACAATTACAACCTATTTTTTATCGACTTAGGTCAGTCGCGGCCGAGATTCGAACTCACTGCCTTCCGATCACGGAGCGAGCGCTCTACTCACTGAGCTACGGTTCCAAAAGAGTAAATTTCGTTTCAAATATTTTTATTTGCTGATTTTAATTTTTGTGTTTAATTTCATATCCTTAAAACCAATCCGTCCGCGGACGCAACATTAAATTAAAAATACGAGGTGTATATGAAAATAATATTTAGTGTCATACTTATTAAATTCTTATTAGAAAACATAATGAAGCACTGCTTCCGAAGTCAGAATATCACACAGTTATCTGTGCTTGTAAGAAAGGAATACGTCCATTAGCAAGAGTTATCTTTCTTATAAATATTTTTTCAATGGAAAAAATGTAATACTAATAAATATTAAACATATTGTACTTGATACATGATAGCATTTATAATCAAAGTACTGAAAGTACTGGGAAGCGCTAAGCAATTGACAAGATTTTATTCCAAGCATTTTCCTTGCGCTATGTGGGCTTTCTTGCATATTGATGACATTTAAAGAGAAAGGGTGATCAAAAATTATATAACAAAATTCTAAAGATACGAATTACATGTACAATTTTACTACATGTATCTGTAACGTTAAGAAAAATGCATTTTATCAAGTAATAATTTTTAATTGCAATTTTCTTTTATATTATAAACAGGGCTCTTCTTTAATGATACTGTAAACCAATTATTATATACCTCATTTTTTATTTGCGAAGTAGTTTATTGCCATAATCATTAAGCCCTCTTAACTAGGGAATGTTTTCAAGGATAATTTGATTATGTATATTTTACCAAATGACATGCAAACCTTTTCCCATAGCAATTGCAAGTTGTCAGTCCTTTCCAACAATTGGTAAAACCTTGATTTTGTTATGAAGATTTTTTATGACAACCATTCTTTTTATAAACATTGAAATAAATATGGAGAGACATCTTATCTACAAAATCTGAATATAAACTTCACAGTATGTGATAATGTAACTTAAATAAACTACTGAATGTACAATAAGATCTGTTTTTTACCAATACTGCAATTGCTATGAAGCGACTTTATTTTATATAAAATTTTTAACAACCAGTAATGTTAATACACTGATAGTGTTTTTCTGAGCTTGCCAGGAAGGCCAGAGATGATGAAAGTTTTTCCAGAAGACAAAAACTAACTCAAATTTATTGTAGTTTTGACATTTATTGATTTAAAAAAGTACTAAAGATTTGAGAACTTTGACAAATTTGAATAATAACATTGTTGATGCTTACAACCAGTAATTTTTGTC